GCAAACACGGTGACTGGAACTCGCTTGAATACGCTTGCTGTAGAGAACACTTGGAAATGCGCTCATGTAGGTGGTGTTGGGATGTAGATATCCTGTTGCATAGGCACTCTCCGCGGTCAAGGTCCCTTCTTCTCGCCCCCTCGCGCTTTGCTGGTATTCTCTCACCAATACGCCCTACGAGACAGACGCCGCTACCGATCGGTGGATACCGAAGTGAGCCTTGCTTGTCACGATACCATTGCGGTCTCTAAGCACTGCGGTGGTCACAAGTGCCAGATTCCCCTTGCCCCTGGAGACCCGCGCATGTGTCTTCTGCTGAAACAGGAAGGCATCACGCTGGAAAAACAAAACAGACCTGGGTAACGTATGACGACTTTATACTACAGTTCATCCGAGTTTCAGCCAGCGTATCTTGAAGACTTTGCATCGTTGAGTGCGTATCTCGGGACATGACATAGACACAAGTACGCAGCGACTTTGATAACTCAAAGGTCGCGAAAATCTCCTTCCAGAGCCGAGTGTACCCATCGTCAATGAACACCAATCGCCGAGCAAGCCATCACCATCCTGTAAAGCCAAGATTGAAGTCATGTTAAAGTGATCATCAGCTCATATATATTGAACCCCTCTGAGAGTTGATTCTAGCAGCCAAGTAACGGCACATTCCGTAAGAATGCAACGGTGTAGTTGATGAATCCAACAACAAAAAGCAAACATGTCGAACCTTTCCCGCCGCCCCTAGTCTAGTGTCATTTTGCCGCGCGCGCAGAGATGGAAATAGCTAAGGTACTATAGATAAATGTGAAGAAAAGAAAAGGCATGCTTCCAAACCTCAACTCCATGAAAATGCAACCAAGAAAGTTCCCCTCGCATGCTTGAAGCCCCTTGTATCATCGAAAACGTAAAGGTAAGAAAGATGTTGCCAAGGATAAACGACGCAGCCAAATAGACACCCCATCATGATGCCAACATGGCCTGCCTCGTCCGGGTCGGCTGCTGCGCCTCGGGCTCCTCTTCCTCTTCGCCCTGCGGGGTCGGCAGTTTCGTGTCGGGCACCTTGGGGAGCTTGGGCGGGTTGCGGATGGCGTCTTCGGCGGCGACGCTGGCCTCGAGGGCGGCGAGCTCGTCTTCGACTTCTTCTTCGTCTTGGACTGATATACGGCCGCCGAGCATCTCGCTGACTTCCTGTAGAGTGGGTAAGAAAGACCGCATGTTAGCCCAGGTTCCAAAACACACATGAACCTAGCACCAAGGCGGATTCCATACCCTTTGATAAGCGATGGCATCAGCCGTCTCGCCCATGAGCTTCTCCACGTGCTCGATGCCGCCCATCTCGGAGTGAATCTCCTTGAGCACCTTGGTACCCTGCTGTAGACCGAACACGACGTCCTTCTGGATCATGGCGAACTCGACCGACGACGTGAGCTTCTCGAGCTGCTCGAGCTGGGCGTCCGTCTTTTGCAGGAGGGACTCTTGGTATTTCTTCCGGCGGAGGGCGAGCAAGGCGCGCGGCTTGTCGCCCTTTGCGAGCATCTGCTTCGCGATGGCCGTCTCTTTATCTGTCAGGACCGTGATGCGGCGCTGGTACTGGTGGAGCTTGTCGCGCTGGAGCTTCATGTCTAGAATTGCCCTGAAGGAGGGAGAGGTTCAAAGGTTAGCGAGAGTAGTTTACATTGTGAATGTGCGTGGTGGGATGGACGTGCGACGGCGCATTGCGGATTACGCAGCGTCGGCGTCGCATGCGCGCGCGCGATATTCCGGTAGGATCAAGAGCTCGGGGACGTACTTGTCCTGGGCGGTGACTTTACTTGTGTTGCCGCCCATTTTGGAGAAGAGGATGATGCGATGCGACTATGCGATTCGGTTACAGTGTTGAGTTGGGGAGGAAGTCAGAAGGGTGGCCGACTTCGTTGCGAAGAGGGTGCGTGTGTATGGCAAAGGAGAAAGGCGAACGAAGTGCCCGTGAGGTAGGTGTTTGGTGCACGAGGTTCCGGAGGTAGTTCGGTCGGTCAGTCGGACACGCGATACCGGTGATCGGTGACGGAGGAGGAATGGAGAGTCGGTCTGGGTCTCGTGCCTGAACCGGCTCGGTTTCGAGGCGCAACGCTGCGACGGAGGGTGGACTGGGGGCACCGCTGCGAGTGCTCCGAGGGTGGGCGGGCAGTTCGTCATTGCTCTTTCCCCCATGTATCAGGTGGGGGCGATTGCGGACCCTGATAAGATAAGAACGTTTGAGGTTCCCAAAACCTAAGGTACCTTAGTAAGTAAGGTACCTTAAGTTACGACGAGCGCAGCTAATGTGTCTTAGGTAATTCATGTTACCGGGCCAACGCTTTTGCAACTTCATGCCTCCAATCCTCTTGCCTACCTTACCTTACCTTAGTTGAGGTATCGCCGACTGCATCTTTGTTGAATGGTGGTGGCAATGGTGTACATCATGGAGTGGCGACCACATTTCATGAGCCGTTTCCACTTTAGCATCATCGGCTGGACTAATGCTGATATCGAACGCAATGACAGGCATGAAAATACCTCACTCAAGATGATTTAGACAATTACAGTTGCCATCCCATAGTAGCGAGTGAGACCAATGGATCTCACTTGCATTCAACACGACATAAAAGTCCGGCTTGCAACGCTTCCTCTTCCTGCATTCGCTCTAACCATAATGCTAGCTGCAATACAGATAGATATGTACACAGCCGGCCACCAGCAGAGTCAAGCCAAGCCAACCCTTCACAGATTAGGATTCCAAAAGTCCACCACCATATCCTCCAACAACTCGGGTCCCAAGGCCGCCACCAGCTCCGCAATGCCAGCCTTGAGACATCCGCTCACCCCGACGTCCTGACGCTCCCACGCGACAAGATCGCCAGTCTCGAAAAGAAGTCCAGAGCCATCTATCCGCAGCTTGATATGGTCCATCTCCTCAAGTGAGCGGATCTCGTCAAGCGACAGGATGCCCGGCATACCAGTGTTGAACAAGAACGTGTCGTCATCGTGGTCATTCTCCTCATTCTTGGGATCTTCTGTAAACTCTTCTTGGCCGGCCGCAGGCTGATCTGAAGTATCCTTGGCTCCTTCGGCAGCTGGTGCGTCGGCTCTCTCCTTTGATAAGCTTAGGTACGGCTTGTTGTCCAAAAGGTCCGTGACTCTCTTGTCCATGAGATCCCAAGCCAGCGTCTCGGGATCCAGGATGTACTGGGGCGTGTAGTCCATCTTGTATCGCATCTTGGGACAGCTGTGAATGTAGAAGCCAGGATACCAGTAACGATAGCCATCTTCCTGTGCCAGAGCAATCTCACGGATCGCGCCCAATTTCCCTGGTGCAAACTTGTGGATGGACTCGTGGTAGAGAAAGTATACGGCGGAAACGCAGTGAGGGAGCAGATCCAGTACACCAATGGCTACCAATTCGCCATCCAAACGGTAGCACTGATGGAACGAACCGAGCTTTTGCTCTTTGCCGTCGGCCGTCGTGATTGTCTTGCGCTGGACCGGAGACTCGCACAGAAAGCGTTGGAAGCCGCGGCGAGAGATCTCGGCCGGCTCCTCCCTATGGACGACTCGCTGGTAGTTCTCATACACCAAGTACTTTTCCTCGGTGAAGACATCATCTTCCAGGGTAACGGTAAAGACATGGGCGGGCTCTGGAGGCAGCTGCAGGGAATCATATTCCGCCTCATGGACCCTCTCGATCAAGTCGAACTCAGAATCCCGTTTCTTTGCCTGCTCGCGTGACCGAGGGTGGAGGCGAGCTGCCTCCTTGATGTAGGCATCGCCCGTCAGGTATTTGTTGAACCGGTTGATGGTTTGTCGCTGATCTCGGGTGGGTTTGAACTGGGTGGAGTCCAGGCGGAGGGTGTAGTGAACGCAGCACGCGTGGAGTTGGTCCGGTCGGTAGAGGGTCGTCCCGGAGCGCCTCCAGTAGTGATCCAGCAAGGTTTGGTAGTATTCAGGAGTAAGGGATGTGGACTTGGCATAGTAAGAGAAGCCTGTCGAGTAGTGGCTCAAGTTAGTGACGGATCAGATCAGGGAATCCCACAGTGGCCGGCCGCAAGTCACTATTCCGCAAGCCCTTGTGCGGCTTACACGAGACGACATGGGAGAAAACGAGGGATGGCATTCACGTTTTGACTGACTCTTGCCTTGGCGGCCACAATAACCACAGCGCGACGAATTAGAATATCCTAAGCTTGTATTAGCAAATCATATGGTGTGAAGTCTTGTTCAGTAGTAGCTAGCTAAGCGCAATTCCCAAACCGCGTAAAACTGAAGATGTTTCTGAGATGTGAACATTATTGAATGGGAACAAGTCTCGTAGCGTTGAGCCTTAAGGTCGAATGAGAGCAGAGAACAGGGGGCTATGGGAGCAAATGAAAAAGCCAATCGCGTGCCTTCGGGTTCAATGTACGTATGGTGAGGACACATCCCGAATTTTGGAGGCAAATGGGCTGGCAAGCGTGGGATTACGCATCCATGCCGTGCAGACAGACCCCCAACTTGATCCGACTTCGAAGGATTGAAGTCAGGTTTGTGTGACTGAGAATGGGATGCAGTGACATCGATCGGCGCAGATGCACGAGGAAAAAAAGGCAACTAAGCCAGTTCCAGACCGACCAAGGGAGCTACCCCATAAAATGCCACGAGCCAACGGCGGCTGAGAGAAGTTGCACGGGGGCAGATGGTTGGAGGAGAGAATAGGACGAAGGACTCACCGATTGGAGTTATATAGGACAAGGCATCGCCAGGGGTCTGCATGCTTGTGTCGTCCATGACTGTCTGGTCTGCTGCGACTTGCTCGCTCTACTAACGCGCCAGGGAAGCAGCCAGCTCGACTAGTGCTAGGCAAGCACGAAACGTTGGCTGATATTTGAAGTGATCGCTTCCGAGGCGGGCACGCGGGTTGACGTCTAAACGCCCGGCGAAGAGGAGGGGTACGCTATGTATCTTGTGACTGTGATGACAAGATGAGAGTCGAGGGTTGAGCCGCTGCCTTTCTATCCCCTCTTTGACGGATGGCGCTGTTCGGCTAGGGATTCGACTTGATGCAGTGAAGCCCAGTCGGGAAGTGTACTTGTTGGTGGAACTCTCACACCCCTTGCGGCATTGGAGTGGGAAAGCGTGGGGTCGCGAAGCTTGAGATGGAGTGAGGGGTTAGTCGCGAGACACGACCTAACGGCCTTTTTCTTTTTTAGTTGCAGCGCTGTGAATTGCCAGCTGGTTGGCCGTGACGTCTGTTGTCTAGCGCTTGGCGCAGTGCGGCCTGACAACCTGGAAGACGGAGGAATATGATGTGAATGCGACGCGAGTGAGGCTCTCCCCTTGGAAATATGAGGAGTCTGCCTGTGACATGGACCGGTATTTATTTGTAGTCTGTAGTGGCCAGTCAATATCCAGTATGTGACCTCGAATAGCCCCCCCAGAAAGAGGTATGACGACGTTGCGTTTGTCTGCCTGCTCGCGCGCTTGCCTCACCTTACCGCCCCATTTAATTGTGCCTGCTGGTCCCAGTCTGTTTGTACCTTGTCTGCCAACGCAGACACTCTGCTCTTTGACTCGAACCAGCTCGTCGAAGCCCGTGTAAGTTGAGTCGGTAGACGTGGACCCTCAATGTGCCGGCTCGGCTTAGCTATACGCCGCTCTTTGTTTGCTGTGTGTATCTGCTGGTCAGTCGCCCGACGACGATGGAGGCACGGGTATGCAGGAGCTCAGCGTCTGGAGCATGGGTAATGCAAATGTGCAGCGTTACCCTACCTCGCGGCAGATGACTACACCATTGGGTCTGCAATCTCGGTGGCCCGAAGGGATGTCGCATACGACGTGCCAGGATGAGGTGGCAGCGGCTCTGTCGGATCGGAGAATGACGCGAGAAAGGCGCCTGGATGAGAAGTTGATATGCGATAGCTTGAGTAAACGGTGCGGCTTCGGAATTTCAAGCTTAAAATGCTACCGATAGTAGCAGTCGAGTGAGCGTGCCAGCTGTAGCATCAGGAGGCAAGACCAACCGAAACGGGCCCCAAGGTAAGCAGGTAGCAATGAGGCATCGAGATACGATCGGCGGTGAATGCAAGTGAGCTATGGGGGTGTTGTATTTCGTCGCATCGCTTAGGGTTGTATCTGGACCTCCCTCCTGGAACTCGATGGAATAACAGAAGCTGTGTTCCAGTGCACGCACCCGCCAGGTCGAACAACCTACCGGCTGAGGATTCTAAACCTGGAGATAGGTAGGTTCGGATACTTAGCCCTTCGTCAAGGATCTCAAGGCTTACGGATCGCGATGGTCAGCATCGGACTAACTCATCAAGAAGGTCCTTCCTTGGCTGTTCAACTCGCACACGGTGGCCTTGAGCGGAAGTTGCAACCCCACGTCAAAGTCCTATCCTGGATGCGAAAGTGTCTTTTGGTTGGTGAATTACCCGTAACATGAGTGGCCAGCGTGCTTCCAGTTCCGATGCAGTGTGGGATGTATCCCGTCAAACGTCTGAAATACAACCAGCTGCGATAGGTGTGAGTGTGGCTGCACCCCTTCCCTGAGCTCGATGTTGAGCTACCTCGCTAGAGAGTCAAAGACGAAGGATTTTGGTTTCATTTCAGCCAGACACTGGAGCAGTAACCACGAAGTCTGCGCGTTGTATCGATGATCGTTAAATTCTAGTCCTGATGCTCTGTGGTCATTGTTACCTGTCCATACTAAGACAATTTACACCGGAATTCTCAATAGGCCGCAGACGTGTTCTTGAGCATAAACGTCGTTGTGGATGACACTGGCAGGACACATCAGAGCTCTCAATAGCCAATCAGAACCTGCCGCAATGAGTTCACTCTCGAAACCAATTAGTGCCCAGAATGTACGACAACACCTGGACTCCAATTGAACTGCCATAAAAAGGCTCCGATTCTAGTGTGATGGTGTCGGTGATGGAAGGCTTTGGCAGCAGCCAGGCAGCTTGCGGATGAGTCGGTCCCCGTTGAAGATTTGGCATTCACTTCCAGGTAGTGCCCCCAAGAGAATTAATTCTACGCAATCCTCAGTCGGGGGCGGGGGCCCCTTGTTCAGCCCAAAAGCAAGTCAACCGGTCCCTACCCGCCAGCTGTCCGCACGTCAAAGGAGGCGCTTGAGTTGGCTAGAACTGTTGTTCGGTTCATTGCGCCCCTCTGTTGTCTAGGGAGACTTTGTTCAGCAAAGAATCCCACTGGTCTTGTCGAGTCAGAGGAACCTATTCTTACAGATAGCGGACGCAAAGCACATGGCGAATCGAATAGGTCTTGCAAGTTCCTGGGCAGCGCCAACTGATTCTTTAGCCACGAGGTAACAGGCAGCTGCTGGCCTAAACAACGTTCTTGCACTTGCTCATTTTAGTCGGAGCGACACGGCGTGGCTTGCATTGGACACCTGTGCCAGCGAGATGCTTGTTCGACGCATCACTTGGCCTGGGAGCCAAGACAACAATAGATTATGGGGGCAACGGAGAACTAGTGTTGTGTACAGTGTACTTCTGGGTAATGCGAATGGTTCCCGGCTCTGCTGACTGATTCGAGCCTGGGGAGATGGAACGGATACGAACCGTTGTGTTCGTGCCAAGCGACATTGGAGACGGTCTAAACATTGGTAGCATGGCCGATTATTAGTTGATTAGTTGAGTCCGAAGGCTAGGTAACCTTCGGGTGCTCTTTGCAAGTCGCAACTCTTGGAAACGCCGAGCAAACTTTCAAAGAAAGACATTCCAACCTAACCTGGAAGCGCACACGCAAGTCCTTCAGATAAGGCGTGGTATCAATTAACATTTTTCAGACATGATGATATGGGTGGAATTTGTAAAGGCAGATGCGGATGATTTGAGTTGCAGGCCCGAAAGGTACTCTGCACATTGGCAAGAAACTGAGAAGGTTGTGGTAGCAAACGGTGTGGGAAGTACAGCAGTGCAACGTCGATACGGTTGGCAAGCCGCAAATATGAGGATTAGAGGGAACGTCTAGTTCGCCAGAGCTGGACTTGATGGGACCAGTCTCTCCAGCCCCATCAGGTCCTCTGCAGTACCCCACCCCTCTAACGCATTCTTGGGAACATGGCCTGCCGCAAGTGCAGTGGATGCCGAGCCTGCAGGGCATGCGGCACATTTGACATCCAATGCTTGTGCTCGAGGTTTCGAGTGCGCCGGCGGCGATGTCGACGAATAGTGGGTATGGTATGTAGATATGTACTGCGTACCCCGTGGGCCCGAGAAGTCTGAAGTCGCAGAGAAAATACTCGTGGGAATACCGGACAGCCAGGCAAGGCGTAACGAGTTTCGGACTGACTGACTGACTGAAAGCGGCCGATGGGAAGGAAGCGCTGGAACACTGGGTCTGGACTTCTGGGCGTGGATGACGAGACTGGAGGAAACACAGAGAGGAAGGTACAGGGTGCCGTACAGATACCTTACCAGCCCGCGCTTTCCTGGCCTTTCCCGTCCCTCCCCAAAATGTCAGGTTGAGCTTCCCTGTGCCTGCCTCAGCCTGCGGAACTGCCCTGACTGTATCCCAGAAACCCAGGGCAGAGAGACAGACCAACAGGGAGCTTTCCCCATGCATGTCACTTCTCACCCCCATCTCTTGCCTGTCCTTGCCACACCCTGTTGATTTTTCTTATGTATCTTCATTTCTCTGCCTCTTGGTCGGCTTTTCTACGCTCAACTCATACATCCGCTACGGGATACCTACTGTTGCCCACATTGGCTGCTCTGCTCATCCTTCCCACACGCCGCAGCCACACCACATTTTCTTTCCCTTCTCTCGGTCTCTCTCTTTCTCTCACACACACACACCAACCTACCTTAGCTTTCCGTCCCCAGCCTGGCATCATACCCTGACCTCCCATCTACCTTCACTTTTTTTTTTCTCTCTCTCTCTCTAACCAGCGTAGCCTGCCAGCTAGCTAGACCACCTGAGTAGTCCCTCCTCCCCCCTGCTCGGTACCGTGGGCTGTTGGAGGCACAAGCTCTGCCTTCAAAGGGTTAAGTATATAAATCAACTTTAATTTCCCCTGGAGCCCGTTCCCGCCCAATTTTTGCTCTTATGGCACGAGACATGCCACTCTCTGGCCTGCACCAGAGCTCCCAGCTACTATTACTACCGCCGCCTGAGCAACCTACGTCCATCCTGGCCCATCCCGGCCTTGACTTCTTTCACTTTCCACGTTGAACACCTTTGCTCCTTGTGTCCGTTCCGTTGCCGTCAGCTCCTTGAGCCAAGATATACAATCCCCATCTTTTACCTTCTCACTAAGGTCTTTCGTCACTCAGTGGTGCGTGCCTCAGTCATATCTGACGCCGCGTCTTTCCGCTTCATCCTCCTTCCCGCCTCCTCTCTGGTCTACAACAAGCAACCTTTGTCACCCAGAACTCTCAAACCCCGAACCAGCCAGACGACGAGTTTTCTTGCTCTTCTGTCCTTATTTCCATCGCCCGGCCGACACGACACTTGTCTGCCTTGCCCCGACTTCGCTCTCTGTAAGCCATTGAGTGACTCGGTACGGTCAAGGTTTGCCCTTTGGCCGGAAGCGTGCGACTGCTGGCCCGACACAGGCTGGTCCCACTCGTTTCTCCATCGTGGTGGTGAATCCATCCGAGCGTTCCCTCAGCTGGTCTCTCTTTCACTCTTTCGCTCTCTGCTGCTGCTGCTGCCGCCGCCGCACCTACGATCGCACCGCCTTGGGGTCTGCCCTGGTCGGATCTCGCAGAGAAATCTAGTAGCTGCTACTGGTTCTCAAATCCGAGTCTCGTTCGAAGCTACAACACGCGCCAACAACCTGCGCTTCACTCAGGGTTCTCTCGCTGTCGTGTGATTCGGCATCGCACCCTTTCCCATTTCCAACAGCTCATATCACTTAAAAAAAGGCGCGATCATGTCGTTGAAAAACCTTTGAACCCGCATCGAACCCCGACACCCACCGCCGCCCGGACAGATTTGGACTTGCAAATCATCTTGCGAAGGAAAAAAGTTACCGGACCTACCGCCACCGCACATCAGAGCAGCCCCCCACCATAACCGACCCCAAACACATTCCAAAATAAACCCCGCGACAGACGAGCTTTCCGAGATGGCTTCCTCTCATAAGGAGCGGACGATGGAGTCACGCACGGGAAGAAGCAAGCAGCGTAAGTGCGCAAACGGGGCAGAGGCAATACCCCTCCCATTCTGAGCCTCTTCCCCCGACCCTGGTGCGCCTGCTCGCTGCGCGGGACCCACTAACACCTTGGTCATCGCAGGTTACAACTCCAAAGGCGAGCGCTTGGTTGCTGGTGTTGTTCCCCTAACCAAGGACAAGCGCTACGTCCTCCTCATTCAGTCCACCCGTCGGAAGGGCTGG